CATACATTAAATGGTACAAAAATACATAGTAATCTATTTACATTAAGCTATACATAGCATTAAGATATATATAGCAGTATAGACCATAGTTTCTAGTAAGTTTCTGAACTAATTTGTACAATGTAACTCTATTACCTGTGCAGAAAAGCTCTCTTTAATAATTAAGTTTTGCGTAGTTTGCCCATTTGCAGGTTGGCACTCTCAGAAGCCCCTGCTAACTTGAGCAAAGTTGTTGTAGTGAAGCACAGGGGGAGGGGGGGTCCCACAAATAAGAGGGGGCAAAACCATGAAGAGCTTTTTATGTGATAGCCAAGACCTTAAACTGAGACTGGTAACAAATGGACACCCAAATGGAGATTCTGCAGAATGGGAGTAATATGCATGCTCCATATAGCTTTCACTAATAACCAACCCATGGCATTCTGGATGAGATGGAGTTTCTGAGTTGATTTTAAGGGAAAGCCAATATACAGTACTTTACAGTAGTCTAGTCTCGATCTTACTGTGGCATGGATCCGGGTGGCCAGATCAGCTGTATCAAGGTAAGAGGCCATCTTATGGGCTAGGCTGAGTTGGCAGAATGCATTTTTTGCAGCTGCTTTAACCTGCTTCTCCAGTAATAAAGCTGGATCCAGTATAACACCAAGGCTTTTACCTGAGTCAGCAAGAGTAAGTTGATCTCCATCAAAAGTAGGGAGAACAATGTCCTTCAAGACCTCGACCTTCCCAACCAGCATTACCTCTGTCTTTTCAGGGTTTGGTTTCAATTTGTTCACTTTTACCCAGTTAAACACAGCAGCCAGGCTCTACTGCATCACGAGGAGATCTGGATAAGGATATATAGAGCTGAGTATTGTCAGCATATTGATGACAACCAACCCCAAAACTACGAATGATTTGTCCTAAGGGCTTTACATGGAGATTGAGAAGCATGGGGGATAGAATTGCGCCCTGTGGAACCCTACACATTAGGTCCCATACTGACAACTGGTTTCCAATAGCAACCCTTTGAGTCTGATCCATGAGGAATTATTCAAATCAATTCAATGCACACCCCCTACCTACTTCTGCCTCCAGGCACCTCAACAAGATGATGTGATATACTGTGTCAAAGGCTGCAGTTAAATCCAATAGAGAAGCTGGGCCTTTGTCTACACTCAGACGGAAGTCATCAACTAAAGTTAACAAAGCTATCTCTGTTCCATAGACTGGTCTGAAGCCTGAAAAGGGTCTAGAGCAGATGAGTCATCTAAGAAGACCTGGAGTGTGTATGCTTTGCTCTCTCAATCACCAGAAAGGATAGAGACCGGGTGATAACTGGCCACATCATTTTTCTGTAGGGATGGTTTTTTAAGTAGCAGATGTATAACCTCCTCTTTAAGTGGCCAAGGGAAGGTTCCCTGAGTTAAGGACTGATTTATAATGGATAGTAAGGGTTTGCTGCTGTAGTCCTTACATGATTTTAGCAGCAAGGATCCAAGGTGCAAGTAGTGGCCTTCACAGATGCCAGATTCAGTATGATTTCTCCGTCAGCATCATTCTAGACACCAGGGTGCTGGGGTACATCCCAAAGGCGGTAGAAGTAGATAAGGAGAAACTAGGCTCTCTCAGAGCTCTCAGTCCCACCTACCTCACAGGGTGTCTGTTGTGGAGAGGGGAAGGCGTTTGTAAGCCACTCTGAGACTCTGAGAGAAGGGTGGGATATAAATCCAATCCTCTTCTTCTTCAATAGCTTCAAGGAGGGCCATCATATTCCATGTTTCCACTGCGGCCTCAACAGAACACACAAGTTTGGAATCCTAAAAACTCCCAGAGCATTCAGGAATCTAGGATGATTCATGAGCCTCTGTGGGCAGACTATTTTAATCAGGCCCACTCTTATGTGGAGTTTTGGAGCTACATTCACCTTGGCTTTAAGTAGGTAGTGATCAGACCATGGTTTAGGATGAATCTCCAGCCCTGAAACCAAACCTTTCATGAAAGGCTCAGTGCAAAAGATCAAGTCCATTGAGACTTCTTTCATGTGTTGTCCAGTCACAATCTGGGAGACCCAAAGCAGTCAAGAAGCTATAAAATCCTGGGCTGGTCCTGATAAGGCATTGTTGGGATGAATGTTGAAGTCCCCCAGAACAATCAGTCTAGGAGTCTCCAGTACCACATCCAACAATACCTCTGCCAACTCTTAGAGAGTGCCCACTGGTGAACTAGGTGGCTAGTAGACAAGAAGAATGCCTAATCTATCCTTAGTCCCTAATGTAAGGAGCATAGAGTCAATGTCAGTGATAGTTTCCACTGGAGGTCTGTGGAAGCTGAAGGTCTCACAGAGGACACTAGCCATGCCTCCTCCCCAGCCAACTGTGTGGGGTTGGTGGAGGACTGCATAACTAGGAGGTGTTAGTTGGGACAGACACACCATGTCATTTTCTTCCAACCATGTTTCTGTTATGCAAGACTGGTCAAATTCAGAGTCACTTTTGTGAAGAAAAGTCTTCCATTGTATCACTAGAACAGAACCCCATATTTTCAGTAACAATTCAATGGGTTTTTTTAGAAAAAAGGAGGTCAAAATGTATGTTGCAAGATTTTATTTTTAATACAGAGATTTCAGTATACACAGCCAATGACAATAATTCCTAGCTCCTGAGGGAAATGTACAAGCAGCTTTCTTTTACATTCATTACACTTGGGTTCATTTCATTCTGTTAAAGGCTTAACCAGCAAACCCATTAATTAATTCAGAAGAGACTGTTCATGTAATAAGGCACTAGTTGGTGTAAAAGTGGCAGTTTTACAGCACAATCCTATACAAGTTACCCCAGTGATATCAATGAGCTTACACTGGAGTAACTGCATAGAACTCCAGCTATCAAAATGACAGATGTCCACTTAACAGTGCCATCCTAAGCCAAGTTGCATCCTTGGACTGCCCATTGGAGTCAGGGGACTTAGAAAGGTGTAACTCTTTTCAGAATTGCACTGAAAGTCTTTGCTTCTCAAACCACACTGATGACAAATCTCATTCACTTACATAGTGTATGTGCCTTTAGAACACTGGTAATTAGTTGCTCTTTTAATAACTGCATTTATTATAGTTTAATTGTGTATATCTTGACACTCAGAACTTCCAGATCAGCATCTCGGGAAGACACGGAATAACAGGATGAGTTCTCTTGTGGATTAAGAACTGGTTAAAAGACAGGAAGCAAAGAGTAGGAATAAATTACTCATTCTCACAATGGAGGGAAGTAATCAGTGGGTTCCCATAAGAATTGGTCCTGGGGCTGGCACTATTTAATTTGTTCATAAATGACCTGGAACTAGGGATAAATAATGTAGTGGCCAAGTTTGCAGATGACACAAAATTACTTAGAATGGTGAAAACCGAGACTGACTGTGAAGAGCTCTGAGAGGATCTCCACAAATTGGGTGAGTGCCATGGGCAACAATGTGGCAGATGACATTCATTGCTGGTAAGTATAAGGTGATGTACACGGAAACAAAGAAAAACCCAACTTCAAGTATAGGCGGATAGGGTTTAGACCTGGTAGGGCTAGAGACTTGCTGAGACAGAGAGGGGAAAAGATCTTGGTCATAGTAGGTAGATCAATAAAAGTGTCAACCCAGTGTGCTGCAGCAGAGAAAAAGGCAAACTTTGTTGGAGATTATTAGGAAAGGGATTGAAAATACAGTGGTTGATATTATAATGCCCCCATTTAGATCTATGATGTGGCCTTATTTGGCTATGGTGTTCAATTCTGGTCTCCGTATCTCAAAAAGGATTTCACAGAGCTGGAAAAAGTACAGAAGAGGGCAACCAAGATGATTGGGAGTTGGAGAATCTTCCCTGTGAGGAAAGCCTGAAGAATCTGTGACTTTTCAGTTTAGAAAATGGACAACCGAGGAGGGACATGATAGAGGTTTATAAAGTTATGCTCAGGATGGAGAGAACTGACAAAGATAACTTTTTTTCCTGCTCCCAAAATACTAGAACTTGAGGGCATCCAATGAAGCTGATGGGCAGTAGATTCAGGACAGACAAAAGGAAATGCCCCAATACTTAAAATGTGGAATTTGCTGCCAGATGATGTACTGATGGCCACAGGACTAAATAGCTTTACAAGGGAATTAGATTCAAGGAGGATAGGTCTATCAGTGGCTGTCCATGGTAACTAAAGGGAACCTCCAAGTGTAGAGGCGATGTACATCTGAATACGAGTGCCAGGAGGCAACATCAGGGGAAGGCCTTGGCCTCTATGCCCTGTTATTGGACCACCAGAGAAACTGGCCACTGTGTGAGACAGGATGCTGGACTAGATGGACCACAGGTCTGATCCAGCAGGGCTGCTGTTAGGTTTTTATGCTGTAAAGTAATTCATTATTTGTGGAGTAATTCATTGGTAAACTGTAGCCCATGCATTTTTATGAAGACCTTTGTGAAGCCTTAAATCGTCCAGGGTACAATTTCCCCTCCAGGACTCAGATTCCTACTATTAATTACTGCATTATTTATTGTCACAAATAGCCCTTTTGTGTCTGTAGCACCAAAAGGTACCCCTGAGAAATAACATTCTGCTTCATATTGTACAAATAACTCCTTAACCATCTTCCCTGTTTATATCAACAACTAGCTCTGATTATTTGGTGGCTATGGCTGCAATCCTAACAACAGTTTCCTGGGAATAAGCCTCAGTGAATAAAATGGAACTTCCAATAGACTTGCTTAGGATTTCTCCCTAGGTACACTGAAGTAAAACTGGACCATAAATGCGGTCAAGCATGCATATGCGCTCAAAAGCTAATAGCCAGTTCTGCTACAGTAATGGTGATATGGCACCCATTTTTGCTGTATTTACTTTTGAGCAACTTTATCAAATAGTTTCTAATCAAGGATAGTATATGAAAAGATAAATTAGGTGAGTCTGTAGCATCTGCAGCATAAAGTAAATGCTTTCTCCTTGTTCAGAGTAAATGGTCCCAATAACGATGCATGAAATATTGTTGTGTGATTTGTCCCATAGTCCACTGATATGATGAATTCTGTAATCTTCCATCATGAAGCAAGTCTGCGCATAGCCTAGTAATAAAAGGGGTTTTTAAGGTAAATCAAGAATAATAAACTATTTCTGAAATCATAATCTGTCTTTCAAAACTCTTATTCTTCATAGAGAATAAGAGGCTGACTATGACTTAGGGAATGTCAGTACTACAAATGTATATGCTGAGCATATGTTAAGTTACCTAGTGTGGCTTCTCTCAAAGAATCCTGGGAAAATGTAGTTTGGTGAAAGTGCTGTATATTCTCTGTTAAGGGATCCACCACAGGACTGTAGTTCCCTGTTAAACCAGCCTTAAGTGATGTCACAACTGTGGGTGCAATCTCCAGGAAGTTCTCCTTTATCAGGTCCATGAAATGAATACAAGAGTGACAGAAGTTCCTGGGAGACCCTTCTGAGCCCCTGAGCAGCTTACTGAAAAATGTTGTGCATCATGTGGGTGGGGGGACTGGGACAGACTAAGCTCTTGGGTCATGGAAGAAGGAGGGGACAATCTGGGAGGCCTGGGGATCCCCTGGAATTACAGCTTATCTCCATACTACAAAGATCAGTTCTCCCGGAGAAAATGGGTGCTTTGGAGGGTATACTCTATGGCATTGTACCCCACTGAAGTCCCTGTCCTTTCCAGGCTCCATCCCCAAATATCCCGGAATTTCCCATCCTGTATCTGGCAACCCCACCCCCTCCATCCTCTGCCCGTGGCCAGGGGGACCTGGCAACCCTACCCCAAACACCACCCTCCCAAGGCTCCATCCCCAAATAGTCAGGAATTTCACAACCTACAATCCTACTGGAAGAGGATTTAACAATAATCTAGTTTGCTAAATGAGCTCTGTACATTTATCAACATAGAATGTGAGAACAGTAAAAAAAAAACACCCTAAATAAAATTATACCTCTTCTTGAACATCAAGTTCTTCATCCTGGTTTGTTTCTGTGAATCCAATTGGTTCCTTTGACTCCTGCATTAGTGAAATCTGTTCCAAAAAGTTGTGAGATATCATGAGGAAAGACATAGGAAATGTATCATAAAGCTGTCAATAGGGTTACAATGCCATGCATACTAAACACAGTGGGACTTATCAAGCATCTCCCTTATTTATAAAAGCCAAATGGTGGTGGCACTTCTCTAGAACATTCCACACGTTCCGGAATTGGTTGGCGCCTTGGTGTGTCACTCAGAATCTGTCCCTATCCACTGGCTGCATTGCTTGAGTCTCGCCTCCAACATTCTAAACAGTTTGCTGTTCCCCTCCCCCCCCATAGCCAGTCAGAATACAAAGGTTATTTGCATATGCAGCCTAATTGGCCTTTGCCTCAGAACACAGAGGTCGTTTGCATATGCGACTTGATTGGCTTTTGCCTCTAACATTCTAAACAGTTTGCTGTTCTGAGGTAAAATGTGTCCAATCTCCAGGTGAGGGCTGGAGATCACTCAGAATTACAACCGCTTTCCAGATGGCAGAGATCAGTTCCCCTGGAGAAAATGGTGGGCTCTGTATCCTTATATGCTGCTGAGGTGGCAGCCAATGACAGTATGACAGCCAATGTGACGTTGCAGTCAGGGTTTCAGAGCATGGGAGAGGCTGCAGGTGTGTGTGTGGGGGGGGGTTGGAAAGCTGAAGAGTGAGGAGGAAATAAAGGTAGGTTGATGATTGGCTGGGAAGGAGATAAGGTTGCCAACTCCAGGTGGGAAATTCCTGGAGATGTGAGGGATGGAGCCTGGAGAGGGTGAGTTTTCAGGAGGCGTGGGACCTCAGACAGGCACAAAGCCATAGACTCCACCCTCCAAACCAACCATTCCCTTCTGGGGAACCATCGTTGCCAATCTCCAGGTGAGGGCTGGAGGTCACTCAAAATTACAACTGTTCTTTAGGTAGCAGAGATCAGTTCCTCTGGAGAAAATGGTGGACTCAGTGTCATTATACCCTGCTGAGGTCACCACAGCAAATTGACACTGAGTGTCCAAGGCCAGGGCACCTGCCCAGAGCCTCTTTCTAGAGGCCGTTGTATTTATTTCTACAACGAGCCTTTTTCCTAATAGTTCTATAATTACAATTTTCTGATATACACTCAGGATTGATTTGTAATTTTTATTTTGAAAGTAGATATCAGTTTTTTCAATATTAATGTAGTAGATTCTAACCCCAGTAAAACTGATGGTACAAGCGTTAGTGGGACATTTTCCATCACTTGATAATGGGGTGGATACAACCAGGCTTTCTGCAATAAAAAGAAGGGTCTCCTTTGACCACTCAGAAAGGTTATGCTGGGGATCATGGGACCTGCATGGACAAAAGCCATGTGAAACAGGGGCTGTAGCAAGGAGGATAAGGACTGAGTGGAAAAGCTGACTGGTTCTACCCCAGTGTTTCAATATCTGTTACAGATAAATTCATGGAGAAATAAGTATAGCAGCAGGAATAAACACATTCAGGATATTGTACTAAATACTAATTTGAGTGAGGGGGAGGAGAGTTACCAAGGTTGAAAACATATTCTAGGAAGATAGAGGCTGCCAATTTAGGACACGGCTAGACAAATTATTGTACCATGTAGGTCCTGCCAAAAATGGAACAGTTGTGAAATTATCTGTGCATCTTTGCTCCCTTGCAAATTTCTTATTACTAAAAGCATGGAGCATAACTTGGCCAATTAATCATGTCTCATTGATTTCAGTAGAAGCAATTTATGATTGTGTTTAAGTAGCCAATGCAAATCAATGGAGCTTTAAAGTGTTTAACTATGGCTGGGTCACACCCAGTTTCTCTTTCCTTATTATCTAACAGATGACATGGCATTCAAGTGCTGGCATATACATTAAGGTTCTAGTGATGGGAATAATTGGTCAAGTCTCAGTCAACTGATATTGCAGGCAGAATCATGTCCCCAGAATGGATTTATGCTTAAATTATTAGATCATTTATTCCCAAAGACCTTTATAAATGACCACCTTGAAGTTAGCATAAAATCAGTAACACCAAATGGTGAATTCAGTCCTGTGCATTGTACCTCCCTTTTTAATATGCACATCGGAGAGTTATGATTCAGAACTGAAGGATTCATTGAAAGAAAACTACAACTAAATCCAGGGATCTTGACAGGAACTATTAATATAGTGGCCTGTAATAATACCAAAATTGCTAGAGTGACTGTGGATATTATTTTATTTACAAAATTTATACCCAGCCTTTCTGTAGTCCTCAGCATCTTCAAGGCTTCTAACAGATTAAAAACTTAATAAAAACCCACCATAAAAAACATTATAATCAAATAAAATACATAATTAAAACAATTAAAACCCAAGCTAAAATACACATACAAAAACATAAAAACCATTAAAACATAGGGTAGGAAGGAGGAATCACTGAGGGAACACCAGATGAAACAAAACAGTCTTTGCCAGTTGGTGGACGATGGCACTGAATGGGACAGATGACTTTTCAGAGGGACAGATTCATACATAATTTTATGCATATCTACAAAATCATATATAACTGGGATAGATGTTAAAGGTCAGTTGTAAAGTAACATTTTAGCAATTGTGAGGATGATCATAAGTGATTGTGACTGGAGAAGACAGACAAATTGGATGACCTGTTATGACAGATATTTGATCATACATTGTTTTGTACATTTTTATTGAAAAATAAATGTATATGTTTTAAAAATAAATGTATGCAAAAGAAAATATGTGCACATAAAAACAAACTATGTTTGCCACGTACCTTTTCAATTATAGGGTCCTGGGTGTCTCTGTGTATGAGCTGACTCTGTATGTGGAGGACAGCATCATGGACAGTCAGGAAAAACATCTCTTTTTGGATAATACCATCAAAGAAGGCACAGAGTTCCAGCTTTCTCATGATGTGGTCTGAAGAGAAAAAGATGAGGGAAAAAATATACATATTCAGATTTATTAAAACAGCAATCTACACAGAAAAATATTCAAAACCCAGTTTCTGGTTTCTGTTTGTGTGTTTGCAGAAAAACAATAAGAAATCAGCTAAGGAACAATTAGTAGCCAGATGAAAACCACTCAAAATGACAAATAGTTGTCACAGAGAATTTTGTATTTATGAATCATAAACATTCTACTCGGGTTTTGCCTCCCATCACTTTCCTAATCATATTATGAATGAGACTCCTCCCTGATGTAATTTATATTAAAAATATATGTTGCTTGTGATACCATTGGTCCAAAGATACAGGGAGACAATCTAAGAGACAGAACACATAAATGTCAACAAGGGCTTCGCTGTCTTGAACTTCAGGAACAGGTACTTAATACAGCAATATAAAGAAAGGTTTTGTTTTGAGTTTACAGAGAGCTGTTCCTAAATAACCATGCAGATTAAAATACTAACGCAACACTAAGCAGGTCTACTCAGTATCCTACTCAGGTCGCAGAAATGGGTGGGACCGTGCAGGGTTTGCCACGGAATGCTTATAAAGTTAGTGGTAAGTTTGCAGAAGGAAATACCAGGTACCAGAGATGAAGGTCACTCCCTGCCCACATCAGGGGAGGATCATCAGCATGGAATGAAATTGACATGAGATGTAAAGAGAGAGGGACACTGGGATGGGAAGTCTAAAGACTGGAAAAGTTGGGGTAGTCGCACCAGTCAGTCTCAGGGAACCAGGCGAATAAAGTCCAAAGGCTAACCACAATCAGTTACTGGAGAGTGGAATCATAAATGGTTTCTGTGTACCAAAGACAATCTGTGACAAACTTAGAGTGATAAGCCTACAGCCTATGTGCAAGCAGAGTGAAGCATCTATTCTATAAAGAAACAAAATATCCTGTGTAAATATCCCATCCTCCTGTTGAGTTTTCTTTGAAATAAAGAACTGTGCTGTTTGCCTTTCACAAGCACTGGTGCCTAACTTTTGAAAAAGATCTATATCTGGCAGTTGTCAATCTATCCACAAGAAATATAAACCCCGAAGAGACTACATTTTAGTGTGAACTGGTCAGCCCTGAGAAAGCAAAGGTGATCAGTCACATCAGAGTAAAATAATCTGAATCCAGTATAAATATATATATACAGGGATGCCCCGACTCGGTCACGGCAATGGCTGGGAAGAGGTAATTGTGTCATAGATGTACATACCAAATGGGACTTAGTAACATTAATAGCTAACCCCTCATTGGAACAACACTCCAAAAAGGAACCTATAAGTTTATGTAGGTCAACCATAGATCTTGACAGAAGAGCAGTATCGTCTGCATATAAGAAACAGGCTGTGACATGCTTTCCTGAGAAGGTGTATATGGATTGGCTGTTGAGTTTAAAAATAAATAGGGCATGGTTTCCAGTCCTGAAAAACACAAAATGCTCTACATCTCACAACAGCACTACAGATAAAATTAGAATTTCAACAGTCAATCCATATGCAAAAGAACCTCCTCCTCCATTCCTCCATTAGCATGTCACAGCCTGGGAAATTCCTACAAGATAATGATTCAGCTCTACCCCACCTTCCTGAGTAGATATAAATTACCTGCCTACCGTCTTTCTTCTCACATTGACACAGAGAGTACTCCATCTTTCTGTGTTATACCTCTGAGGATGCCAGTCACAGCTGCTGGTGAAACGTCAGGTATTACAATGCCAAGACCATGGCCATACAGCCCGGAAAATATACAACAACTAATGAACTCCGGCCATGAAAGCCTTCGACAACATATTGCTCTGAGATCCATAAAAGCAACAGCTAACATACCATTTTTTGATCTGGTATACTTGTCTACAGTAAATTGAAGCGTATGGCAATGGTCAACTGCGCTGACTCCTCTGTGGAATCTCTTGCTCTTGACCTAGTGTGGCTTCACCCTCAATCCAGAGAAGTACCTTCTTATAAAGCAAGGAGTTTGCTCACCACTGATAACAAACTTATGGGGCAATAATTCTTTGGGTTTGTTAGATCACCTTTTTAATAGACAAGGACTTTTATTGCATGCTGCCAAGAGGTAGGCATAATTCCTGTCTCATTACTTTGAGTAAATATTGGAGCCAAAATCTTTGCCCACTAGTTGACATTTGCTTGAAGTAGCTCTGAAGGCACCAGGTTAAGTTCTGGTGCCTTTTCAGATTTCATTTGAAATATTAAATAATTAATTTCTGATATTGTGACCGGGGGCCATTTGTCAAGCTTTGGAGTAAGGATCATTTTAGCAGGGATACTTTCAGGAGATGATGTCGCAAATAAGGCCTTCAAATGTGCCTCCCAGCAATTAGCACAGATGTAACAGAGGAGCAGGGATCTAGTGTTTAGCTCATTTGCAATCATATCCCAAAAGATTTTTACATCTTTTTGTTTGGAAGCCCAAATTAAATGTTTCCATGAGATAACTAGAGCTGCTCTTTTTTTTGTTTTCGATAAGCATTGTGATTCAGGTTGCAACTAGAATATTCATTTGAGTATACCTGTGTCATTGCTCACACCCATTTCCATCAGCGGCTTCCCACCACCTACACACTCCCTTCTTCTTCCTTCCCTCCCTCCCAAAGGGCCGCTTCTCTGGCATCACGACAGAGAACAAGCAAGAGACATGGGCAGAGGAGAAGAAGGTGGCGGCCACAGTTGCGAAGGAAGAGGCTTCTACTGCTGAAGTGAAGGGGGAGGCCCAGCCCACACATGCACTGACAGGGAGGTGGCAACTGCCCTGCCTCTGACAGGAGGAGGAGAGGGAGGTGGCGGCTGAACATGTACAGCGTGGCCCAACCAAGAGAGAAAGAAATGAGGGGGAAGGAGCAGTCAGCCAGCTGACCTGACACGCGTCTTTTCACTGCTATTGCCCTGCTGCCACCACCCTCCTCTTCCTTGCTTGCGGGCCAGATAACAGACCTGGACGTGCTGTTCCAGCCACTGAGCCATATGTTTGACATCCCTGCAGTACATATTGTAGCTGACAATAGTTTCCCAAGGTTTTGGGCAAAGATCTTTCCTTGACTTGCTACTGGAGTTTCTTTTTAAGTGGAGAGTCCAGTGATTCAACCTGGGACCTTCTGAATCTACTCTCCTATTACGCTATGGCTTCTCCCTTCCACTTTACACTTCATAACAGATGCTACCCGTTAGCAATAATAGCTAAGTTTACATATTTACCTAAATGTGATGCAATGTATACTCGCACATCAATCCTCTCAAATTCTTTGACAATCTGAAAAGAAAAGGATTGGGCTAGCATTAATTTTTGCAGATAGATTAACACTGCAGTTGAGTTACACCCTTTTGAGTCCACTGGTTTTTTTGAAAACTGATGTTCGGAAACTTTAATTGAGAAACAGGGTTACCAACTCCAGGTTAGGAATACCTGGAGATTTGAGGGTGGAACCTGAGAGAATGGGGTTTAGGGAGGGGAGGGACCTCAGTGGTATATAATGCCATGCAGTCCACCTTCCAAAGCAGCCATTTTCTCCAGGATAAATTGAATAAATGTTTTAAATGAATAAGTAATAAATAAGCCATATATGTAGTTTGGACATCAGCTGTAATGCTGGGGAATCTTCAGCTCCCACCTAGAGGTTGGCAACCCTATAAATGAGTTGCAGTAGTGAATACTGATGTTATATGATAAGCCAATGTCAAGAATATTAATGGACTCTTTGAAACCTGGGGGTTTCACACCAATGATATAAATAGTTTGATGAAGCTGGATCCAGTTTTATTGGGGGGGGGGGCAGGCAAAGACACAGTGCAGCCTTTTGCAAAGGTAACCCTAGCTACTCTAGTCTAAGCTGATGGATTTTGATGGGCTTAGACTGGAGTAACTATGTATAAGATTGTACTTTTAGACCTTTAACTTCACGTGCAATACCAGTGTCTCCACTACAGTTTTTATTTGGATATGTAAAAGGTGTAATCCACTTTAACCATCAGGAAATTGTAAAGAATCCTAACACTAACCATTTCAATAGCTACAGCTCTAAATGGAAAAACAGTATATAAATATTTATTTTAATAAATTAAAATAAAACAGTGGAACTTATCAAGAAGCAGAAGGACAATAAAGGCCCATGTTTATGGCACTGGCAAAAACAACTATGGGATATGTTGTACATGGTCAAGTTCACTGCAGCACAACAACCTGCATCCCGGGAATCAACTTCCCCAGGGTTGGAAATGGCTTTTGGTGAAAGGAAAAGTGAGAATATCCGTGACCCTTGTGCAAAGATCCTTCATCCTTCCTTGTACCTGTGGAATGCTGGATCAAACCCAAAGTGTTTTTTAAAAATCAGTAATTAAATAAGTACAACAAATTCAATAGATTTATGGCCTCAATAACTCTTTCCAACAATAATATGGCATCTGCTGTATCAACCACTTTGAGAAAAAATTTCTTCCAATCTTTTAGTCAAAGTTAAACAAATCAGATGTCCTTACTTTGTTCCTTTTTCCCCATTTGGAGGACCTCCTCCCCCTGTTTGGTGTTACGGAGAGGAGTAATCAAAAGATTGACTTGTCCTCAGGGGTCGTTTCGTAGAAAAAGAGCTAGGGGAACTCATTAGCATAACTCATTAGCATATGCCACATCCGCTGACATCACCGGAAGTGTGTCATAAGGCCACACACCCCGCCCCTAACGGTCTTGGCCGCCGCCGGCCTTGCAGCTTCACTGCCGAGCCCCATGAGAGGCCCGGCGGTGGACCTGCAAGGCCAGCGGGAGTGCAAGGAAGCCCCGCGAAGGCCCTCCCTGGCCCCAGGCAGGCAGGGGTGGGGAGAGGCAGGGAGGAAGCAACTTACCCTCCCTCTTCTCCTGCCTCCTCCTGGCTGAATGAGGACCAGAAGCGGGGCGGCCGGAAGCAGGGGGCGGGGCTTCATCATGTGCCCCGCCCCCCGTCCCTCACTCGGGGGAACTGCGATCCCCGCGTTCCCCCCTCGAAATGACCTCTGCTTGTCCTCATTATTCTAAACTTTTCTAAAAGTTGTTAAATAAATAGATCTGGAGGAAAGGACTTGGTCTCACCTTAAATGCATTCTAAAATTTTAAAAAGTACTCAGTTTGATTTGTTTTGATTGTTCAAATTACTTATTTTCACTTTGTTACATGTTAGTGTTTTGAGACTGTAACATAGGTTTAAGAACATAATCTAAATAAAGGTTAAATGATGATGATAAATGTGTTAGTTTCACTTTTGCATAGATTAACACCACTGGTGATTGTGATGGGACAGGCAACTACAAAAATGGAGGATTTTACCCATCTCAGTTAAATCTGTACAAGTCACAAAAGCACACACTAGCCCAAAGCTAACCCATGAGAAAATATTTCTTTAACATCTCTGCCCACAATGCAAACAGTGCTGTCTTCTGCAAGGCAAAATGTGTGTACACAGAGTATTAAACCCAACAGCCCACCAGTGGAAGGCACTAACCTTCCCCCTCTCTTACCCTGGTAGTCCTTTCTAATCTAGGAAAGTTTATTCCTGGGGTCATGAGACCCATAGTCATGCAGGTCAGGTGGCTGCAGTGGGAAGGAGGAAAGGGATGATATTGCCCTTCCTGACTTTTCCATCAGCAGACGTCCACTGATGGAGGAGGAGGAGGAGGAGGAAGAAGAAGAAGAAGGAAGCAATCTTGTTCCCTTCCATTCAGCCACCTGCGTATCTATTATCCACATGTGATCCTGGGAATCAGCTTTCCCAGGGTCAAAAATTGATGCCGCTAGGTGTGCAAAGCAGGGAAAATATACAGTCCTTGCACTGGATCCTACCCAGAGTTTGTGTGGAAAGATATTTCAAGGGTTCAAATTTATCTTTGATTCTAGCTCAAATCTGCTTTGTCCCTACATGTGCATAAATGACCTAGTAATTTAATAAATACCAATAGCTAGAATATTTTTTTTATCAGTAACAAAGTACTCTTACCGTTTTCATGGCTCTCACTGCTACTACATCCATGAAGGATACAGCTCCAAAGTCAAAAATGAGACTGTGCAGGGGCACTTTGGGGACATTGACTTTGACAGGAAGGTCTGAATTCCAGTCCACTTGGATTTCTACTTCTTTAGTTGGAATGTCAAGCTCTGAAGGATCTTCTGGGTCTTCATCAGGTTCAAAAGCTTCATTAGTAGTGCCAGAATCACTGATTATGCCATTCTAGTGAGGACACATACATTTATATATTTATCACAATATTTATTAATAAAGGAACGAACAACTCCTTACCTTTCCTTCCAAGACGAAAAGCAGCATACACACAGGTATGTGTGATAGACACAATTCTTCAGAAAGTCTTCTTTAACAGCAGAAGTCTCCCACACAAACTGACCTTTCACTTCCTATTTACGTACTCAGTTTCCTCATGTTGCCTGTGAACATTAGTAATTTACGAACTGGCCTATGAGGAATGGGGGGGGGGGGGGACCCCACCCTCCAAATTCTCATTCTCCCAGTATTCTCTATGTTTGAGCAGGCTGTTTTCTCCTCCACTCCCCCCTTTTCCCTTTTAACCAACATGTCACTGCTCTATTTTCAATTCCTTTGGAAGCATTTTCAGGTCTTACCAAGCCCCCTCCTTTTTTTCTTTTGGTTAATTTACAAAGACACAGTTTTTGGAATATCCAGGGAGTCCCTGAATATATTGGGGGGGATGACCTGTAGTTCTGCTCACACATAATCCCATCCTATCTGCTGCTGAACATAGCGGGGTGGATCCAACCATCCTGCAAGTAGCCTTCCTCCAACTTAACTGGTGCTTTCTCCAGTGAGAAAGCCACACTTTGGAGGAAGCCTCCTTCGACTGGAGAAAGGCCTCACACTTGAGCCAAAAGGAAAAAATGGGGTATAATCGTATAAATATTTTCATTCACTCAGTCATCTCAGTGGAATGCTAGAACAGGGTTAGGATAAACCCTACCAATTCTGTATTCTTCATTTTAAACTAAAATAGAAATGCAGATCCCACAAATACATTGAATAAGAACCCTCACCTATATTTCAGGTCATGACAAACTCTTCATTACTGAATGGAGAAGGGAGATTAATACTTTACCTTTGTTGCTTTTAATTTCCCCTTCTTGATTAGCTTCTGTATTTTTCTCAGTGCTTTAAGCCTCTTGTTATATACTCGAACGGCATCAAATCCCACCTGGAGAATGCACAATTGAACCAAGGTATACTCAATTTGTCTTCCAAGGAATAAATACACTGGCTACAATTCAATGGCATCAAAGGGCTTAAATGTTGGATTGAGGCATGAAAAATAGAAAATGTTAAGAATTATCACAGGCTACTCACAGAAGATCTGACACTGCTTCTCAAGCCATCAATGTTAGCATAAAAAATAGGACTTGAAAATCTGACAATCTTCACTCCTTCTGGTTCAACCACCTGTTGTGAAAATCATTTTATATTGAAATAAGCATACTGTCTGCGCTGAGTTACAAAATCCAGACCTTTACCCTGGGTTGGTTGTTGTTGTTTTTTTTTACATTTTTGACCACTTTGCTTGATTTGCAAATCCTTCTAGCTCAACCCCTGACAGCCCACCCTTCTCCTATGTCCCTGTAGGCTTTTGTAACTTGTCTGTCTGTGTCTGTCTGTCTCTGTCTCAGCATCATGTCACTGTTAACTACTTTTTTGTGGCTATTCTGGATGGGTGGGGGGAGGTAGTCATGAATTCAGGGGCACAGATAGACTCTGTGTGTGTGTATAGTATACTGCATTACTGAAATGGGGGGGGTGTATTTTTTTAAAAAAATAACTAAGACACCTCTGTAATTATGTGATCGGAGACACAGACCTTTTACTTCCAGGTCATACTTTCTTTTTATGACACTGAAATTAGAATTTGGCATAAAAACGCTCACAAAACTGCTCACTTTTAATTTTTTAATTTATTTCTTTAGATAATTGTACCACACTTTTCTTCCTAATGGGGACTCAAAGCAGCTTACAACTTCATGCTCCCCTGCATTTTATCCTCACAATTCTGTGAGGTCGGTTAGGTTGAGAGTGAGCGGCTGGGGCCTGAGGGCGAAAAGCCATAGAATTTTGCCCAAATAGCAGAGCATCCCCACATGACATTTCCGGCATGATGACATCACTTCCGGGTCGCACAATGTCCCCCCCACCTCCCGGAATGCCCCTCAAAGCCTCCCACTGGTAGAGGTAAGGGAGCTGGCAACCCTACACTCTGCCCACTATACCATGCTAACACCTGTCCTCCAGCAGTAAAGCGTATATATCCCCTGGATTATGTGGAGATTTTAAGTTGGTTTATTAGGGCTGTCAATCTCCAAGTGTTGGTTGGAGATCTCCTGGGATTACAACTGATCTCCAGGTGACAGAGATCAGTTCACCTGGAGAAAATGGCCACTTTGGAAGGTAGATTTTATTATGGCGTCATACCCCACTGAAGTCCCTCTCTCCCTCCCCAAACCTCCGTGCTCCTCAGGCTCCACCCACAAAATCTCCAAGTATTTCCCAACCCAGAGTTTACAACCCTGCTTAAGGTGGAAAGCAAGTTCCATCGCCCCAAAGCAAAACTAGCTCATCTGCAGAAAGACTTCGTACCCCTATTTTAATCATTCACTGTCATTACTGCACAATGAAAGCCTTTATAATGGGAGTATTAAGATGGAAATTGTAGCCATATCTTTACAAGGCTGTTGTCAAAAACTGACAACGTTCACCTAACTGGGCCTAGCCTGGCAATTTGCTCAGTGAATGGTTGCCAACCTCTAGATGGGAACTAAAAATTTCCTAGAATTGTGACTGAACTACAGACTACAAAGAACAGTTTCCCTGGAGAAATCAGAAGCTTCTCAAGGTAGACTCTATGGCTACATGTCCCTCCTGATCTCCCTCCTCTCCCCCAAACTCCACTTTCCCAGGCTTCACCCCCAGATCTCCAGCTTTAATGTATTGATGTAGTAAGCATATATAGAAATTAACTGCAGCTAACCATATAGATTTTGCTGTCAGAAGCTATGGATCACAGTATGAACCGAGTGGCCTGACATGCTTCATCCTGCAATAAACCACTGGCCTGCTCTTCTCTTTGTGAGAAACTGAGGATCATTTTGTGTTATATACTTCCACCAAACCCTTAAAAGCAACAGTACAAAACTTTTTGTTACGTGATAACTTGTTGGAAAATCTTACATTTTTGTATCTGGTGACCTTTTTATATATATCTGTGCCAGGAACATTGCCAAGGCTACCCCAGGAAGGACTAGGAAAAAACACATATGAAAATACATAGCCAAATGTTATATAAATGCAGAATAAAGAACACTTAATTGCAAGCAAATGTTAGTTACGTTTCTCTTACTGTGCAATCCTAAAAAAAACAAAAAACCATTGGCACAGGGAACTAACTGAACTGACCGCCAGCATAAGTGCATTTTATGCCAGTGTAAGGGCCACTTATGCTGCACCCCACAGTACTGCTTGCACAGCTGCGCTGCCCCAGCACACCAGCACAGACCCCTGCTCCAGTGGGAAACAGGGTGTGCTGGGGGTATGGCAGCAGTTAGACAGCTCCTCAATTGCTTCCAGCATGGGGACACCCCCTGAGCAGGCACAAAGTTGCGCTTGCCAAAAATACCAGTGTAGCCCATCAGCTCCCATTCTGAGCCAAAAAAGTCCCTCATGCTGCAGCCATTCTCACAGGACCCCAAGCAGTTCAGGAGACCAACTAAGGGTACACCCATTAAGCACCTCTCTTGCAGTGGGTGCGTCCCATTCACAGCACCCAGTCACAGCCTCTCCTGCACTATAAATGCTTCCCGCAAGTCACCCCACAACTCACAAGGTAGGGTGCACAGCATAGCACACTGTCTGACATCCTGCCATGCAGACTTAGAGTGAGTGCACATGAACCTTAGTGGTGGGTAAAACACAGAGGGAGGAGGGTCCCCCGAGGGTCCGCACAGGTCTCTGGATGCCTCCGCTGCCAGATGTGTGCCTGCACCTGCTCAAGGAGCCCCCTGAGGTCCTGTCTCATCACTGTCTCCAGTGACTTATATGGGCCCCAGCCCACATCCCCTCCAACAGCTCCCCTCCAAGGGGTGGCGGCAAACAGTGACACATGGTGACATTGTGGAGCAATGCACAAATGGCAAAGAGCTTGGCCACTGTTAGCTGAGGACTGGTACACCTTGAGGACCTCAGTGATGACCCCCTGGAAGGATCTGCTGGCCAGAAAACAGGGATGGCACGGGATGTGAGAGCTTGACCCTGGAGGGCTGGGCCCAGCTCCTCACACAGGGCCTGGATGGCAGCTCTATCTAGGTGAATCCAATCAAGGCAGGTGCTGTCTGACAGATGGAGGATACTGATGTGAGCTCAGCAATGGCAGGCACGGTGCCTTCTCTGCCATTGCTGTGACGCCCAGATGTACAGTGCCAGCAGTAAGTGGATGTTGCAAACCCCTAGTATGGGCAGCAAGGGCAGGAAGGGGTACCATCCTGGCAGTGGCTGGCCAGGCTCTGCAAGAAGACATGGCAGCATTCACAGGGCTTGTTTAGTTTGTTTGTTTAGCATTCGCAGGGGTAATGGGCAGCCAAGGCAATGTTCTTCCGGGCTCCTGGCCCCTGCCCCCCTGGACACTACCTACTCCATCTTTTGGTGCCATGTTCCCCAGTGGCCACAGCCCCCTCCTGCCAGGTAGTGGCCATGGCAAGAACAGGGGTGGGTGGCCAGAAGGGGGGGAATCTTCCCATGGTGGCTCAGCCCAGCTCCACATTCCCCTGTGTGTGTGTGGCACGGCCATACGAACATCTGGTAATGGTGATGGCCACCACCAGCCTAACTGAACTGAGGCCGAGAAGGCACTGCTGTACAGGTTGGTGGTGAAGCATGAGAGCATTGCCCTTTGCCACTTCCAGGAGCAGCTCTGCCACCTCCCAGTGCTGTGCCTTCTGGCACACGGTGGGGGAATGGGTGTCTGCCCTGGGACATGCCACCTGGATGGAGTTGTCCACTCTGAAGCATTGGAATAATTCCTTTGGTCCCACTCAGTGGTGCATCCAAGCCCTCATGGCCAAAGGTGCTCCTTATAAGCAGGCAGTGGAGGAGAGTCTACCTGGAGCAGAGGCCATCATGTGGGCAGTGATACCCCCCCCCATGGTGGCGGGTGGCCGTCCCACTGAGGTGCCGTGTGGTGAGTGTCATGAGCCCTGGTACCACCTGGCCCCAGCTGAGGGGCCAGGGACCTGGCACCCAAAGCCTCATCGAACCCTCAGGGTGTCCTGACTGATTTCTCCATGCCTCCATAGCCCTGCAGTCACTGGGCATCACAAGAGTCCCCTGGCCCAGCAGCTAAGAGAGAGGCAATGCAAAGGGCAGACTAGACATCTTTGGATGGCAGCAGCCCCGGCCTGCCAATTGGGGGGAGGATACGGGTAGCAGGGGCGATGCACATTCCCCTGAACCATGTGTGTACCAGACAAGGAAGGGTATTCTGACCCATTGCCGGGCTGCCACAGCCTATCCTGCCCACCCTGTCATCAACGCTCCCTCTAAGCTGTGGAGTCTTGTGAGCAAAAATTCTACTTTGTGAGCTACTGGCATTAAAGTTGTGAGCGAGCGATTTGGCTGCTGCATAAATTAGTTTGCTCTGGAGCCATCCTTCCTGAGTGAAGACAAAAAGGTGTGAGCCAGAGGCTAAAAAACCATGAGCTAGCTCACACTAACTCAGCTTAGAGGGAACATTGCATCTATGTGGGCAGTGACTGAGTGGGAGCAGCTGGAAAGACACTGTGAGTGGCGTGAAGCCTTCCCAGGGGCCAGCAATGAATGGAGGGGGCTGGCAGAGTCTGTGATGGTGGCTGCCAGGCACCTAGAGCGGCTTCTTGCCATCTTGAGGGATGTGGGTGAGGGACAGGGGCCCATTGAGTGGCTGCTGGATGACCTCACAGAGGCTCTCCGAGCCCTCCTTGCAGCCTCTACACTGCCGGTCCTCCTCCTGCTCATCCTCCAGAGGGAGTGGCATTGTGGTTGTCATGGGGATGCCCTTGACAGCATGGGCGCCCTGCTGAATGGCATGGCAAAGGGCATCCACAAATCCATGTCGTTGCAACGGCAGACCACCCAGATCTAGCAACAATGACAGCATGGAACCCCACAGCACGAACACCATGGTTACTACTGCAGCAGCCGCCAGAATAAAACACGAACACCTTTTTCCCAGCCGGCCTTAGGGGGACAACTAGTAGCACCACAGTTGCGCCGCAGCTAGTCACCAAAGTGCAGGGGCAGGACAGGACTGCTCTGTTAATCACCTAATAACAATATCCAACTTTGTGCAAAATGGCAATATGTTCATTTGATAGTACAACATAATTTGGAGAGAGAAGACGGCATGGTATAGACCAATCTCATTAGATTTTGGAAGCTAGCAGGGTCAGTTAACTGGGAGGTGGGGGGGAACTGAGTGAAGAGAAATCAGCTTACTCAAGCCCCTGACAGCTTAGAACAGGAAATTTTGAGGAGCGCGATGGGATTCCCAAATTGTTTAACCCCACACATACAATGATGCCTCATGGGTCATCACCCTGCTTGTATATCTAACAGTAATGTAGCCAGCCCCCATTAAGACAAATGTAATGTATCCAGTCCAGACCGCGTGGCCGGCTTGGGCTCCACACGGTCAGAGACAAACGTCGAGCTTTGCTCCAAGAGACAATGGACTATGTGGATCCTAGCCCGCTCCAATCAGGGGGCTAGGTTCCCAGCCGAGAGCCTATGGGACTCTCGGCCACTGTAAATAACCTATTGGGAAGTGGGGGTGTGTGTTTTGGGTGGCGGTTTCTTGGGGAATATAAGCCGGCCTGCGAGCCGGCCAAAGTTGTCTTGTTCCTGATTGAATAAAGTACACTTTGCTGAAATCACTCTCCGTCTGTGTACGTTTCAACAATGAATGTAGTGCCCTGACCTGGATAGCCCAGGCAAGCACAATCCTGTCAGATCTCAGCAGCTAAGCAAGGGCCGACCCTGGCAAGTACTTGGAAGGTTGATTTCTGAGGAATACCAGGGCCGGGATGCAGAGACAGGCAATATCAAGCCACCTCTCTTAAACATTCTAGGCCCACTACAGTGCTGCCAGAGTCACTATGACTTCCAGGTTTGCAAGCACGCATACACACACACACACACAAAGGACTCACCCAAAAAAAGGACAATTAAAGTAGCAAAATCCACAGACAAGGTAGAGGGGTTCTATATACTCAAGATACTTCCCAGTATGTGGGCAAATATGGCTTCATAAATTTACTGAAACAAAAAAAAAGGAGAAAAACCTCACCAAAAAATGGCCTAATGAGAACTTAATATACCCCAGAAAAATAGGAGGGCAAGCATTTTATTATGTCTCATCCTCCTACAGAAGCCTCTAAAAATATTAGCATAATAATTCTGGAACTGCATGCTTGGAAATACCAGGATCATAATATTTAAAAGGTACTTACAACTGAACTCTCAGTACAACTGTCAGTAGCGCAAACACCAGACCAGCAAGTAGTCCCAAATCAAGTCCAAGAATAATAGACGCTATGCAGGTGAAGACCCAGATACACTGGAAAAGAAATGGCAACAAAAGGCTAGATACCCTTCATAGACGTTGCAGTATAAGGTCTAATTTTCATAGACACAGTAAATCTATGCCTGGATTGTATCGCTTCAAATTGCAGACCTGCACATGATAGAAACCTCTTCCATACCGGAAGAAAAACAAATTTAATATAGAAAGCTAACATGTCAGGGGAAAAGATTCCTCTTTAGCATTGTAATCTAGCTTCCCTGACATGTTAGTTTTCTACATCTAGGGAACTTCTCTATACGGAGGGAACATTCCATCATGGACTCTCACCTCCAGTCTAAAGTTGTACAGTGCAGATACAGTGAGAACTAAAATAGGAACGTCATGAGACTACTTACAGAAAAAGTCAGAATGTCTGGACCTTTTAAAATCATCTGTGGCACAAGGCCTTAATGAACTGCTTTGGCCTTTTGGACACATGCATTCCATTGATCTTTAGATCAGAAGCCATTGTCATAACCAAAGAGTTCAGTATTTTTACAGTATTTTGTCAGTGTCCTGAGAATCCCAGTAATATATTAATAATTAAATGAAATATGTTGCTCTGGATTCTTCTGAGAAAATACTAAAAAGCACACATCTGTAGTACAGCAAGATTTCCATGCAGGCTTCCATATATATAGCTGATACACGGGCACTTTCTTGTCATAATGCTCATCTGGACTGCATTGAACTAGATGGATGCATGTTTAGGTATTCATGCAGATGAATGCAGTTCCCAGCTGAGAACACTAGCACAGGCATAAATGCACACAACTAGAACTACCTGAGACCTCAGTGGAGCCATTATAGCTTGATGTACATTGCAAAAATAATGCATCTACCAGTAATGCCTTCTATCTATTACATTTTCATCCTGCCATCCCTTCATGGAGTTCAAGGTAGGATAAGTGGTTCTTCCCTCCTCTATTTTATCCTCACAAAAACACTGTCAGATAGTTTTGTCTCCCAACATAACCTATCGGTAAGTTTCCTGATTGAGTGGGGATATGAACCTGGGTCTCGCTAGGCTTGTCCAATCCTTTACCTCACCACATGTGCTGCCAGTCATAGTAGTGGATTACAGCAGTGCACCAAACAGAAGGCACTTGCATAGCCAGAGTTCAAGACTGCGGCAAAACCTCAGGAATATATAGAATGAGAGCAGGAATCTCAGTGCCAGCTACAGAATTTCAAGACTGAGCTTCTGTTTCTCTTTCTGTTTTAGAAGTTACATGTTTTACTGCAGCCATTGCAAGTGGTCTCTGTCATTTCAGTATATTTTCCAAGTCCAAAGCTTTGCTGCCATTAGACAGGGCACTGTGGCAAACTCCACAAACGGGACTTTTCTGCTTAAGACATTCCTGAATGCACAGCATACAGAAGACACAGCCTCAAGGCACCCACTCAGGGTTCTTGTACACCTCCAAGCATGTGAAGTAAGAAAGTGGAACTAATCACTCAGTGGTAGGCGCCCCCCTCAGGAAACTGATTGGTTTCCTGAGGGGGTGCTTGCCACTGAGCGACTAGACCTGCTTTCTTACTTCATGTGCTTGGAGGTGTATGAGAACCCCGTGTGGGTGCCTTGAGGCTGTGTCTTCTGTATGCTGTGCATTCAGGAATACAATATCAACAAAGAGAATCACAGAAATCAAATACAAAATAATAAGAACCACCACTGTGATGGATTACTAGGTAGCAACTGATTAAAAAAAAATTATTAACCACGTTTGACCAATAACTAATCATGTTTTAACACATAGAAAATTCTCTCAATAATGCACAGAAGCATTTAACAGTCACAATACATGTTATGCTGTGATCCAAACAATGGTAAGTATTGCATATATTCAAATTGTTCTCCAATCCAGATGCCAAAAAATCATAGCTTCTGTGTTTCCAAAAAGATCCAGATGGATGAAACATACACAAATTATAAATACTTGCAAGCTCTGGCTTCCTGTGTTGCCAAGACACACTCAACAAATTCCAAATGGAAAAAAAGAACACCAATTACAGACACTCGCAAGCTCTGGCTGATGGGCGGCCAGCTTGAAAACCCGTTTCAGCATCCATCCTTTTTCAAAGATGAAACTGCTTCCTGGATCAGCGCTGGAATTAAACATCATAACACTTGACAATAACTGGTGATTAGTTATTGGTCAAATGTGGTTAATGATTTTTTTTGTAATTAATTGCTAGTTAGTAATCCATCACAGTGGTGGTTCTTATTATTGTGCATCCAGGAATGACTAAGCCAAAAAAGCCGGTTTGTGGAGTTTGCTGCATTACCCTAATGGCAGCAGAGGTTTGGACTTGAAAAAGCAAATTGAAATGACTGAGACCACTTGTAATGGCTGTAGTAAAAAAAATGTACTTCTCAAAACTGCATGGTCATGTTGCTTCTTTCTGTTTTAGGTATTAAAGCCTCTACCAGAACGGGTAAGTGCCAAAGGGTTCTCTGCTCTTAGCCTGTGGCCTTAAGTGAGTTGGTGCAGTTGGATTTTGGATCAGACTTGGAGCTGTACTGCATTTTCTTTTTTGTTGATGGTCGTTTGTCTGTTTGTCTCTCTGGGGGTTTTTAATTAGTTGCTTTGGATCCCCAGTGCAGGGGAAAGTGAGATATAAAAATAAAGGCATAAAATGCAGCAGCTTCCTCACTACCAGCAGGAGGAGTGTCATGGATCCCAGTAGCATGAGGCAGAGATTCTAGGGAGGAATGGATACGTATATTGGTATTAGGGTTGCCAACATCCAGGTGGTGGCTGGAAATATCCTGGGATTACAATTCATCTCCAGGCAACAGAAATCAGTTCACCTGGAGAAAATGGCCGCTTTGGAAGTTGAACTCTATGGCATTAGGCCCCACTGAAGTCCCTCCTCTACCCAAACCCCACCCTCCTCAGGCTCCACCCCCAAGAGCCCCAGGTATTTCCCAACACAGAGCTGGCAACTTTAATGTGTGTGCATGTGTGAGCATGTTTGAGATATGGGTAGAGGGGAGGTATTCTATTAGTGTTTCTTGTGCATATCTGCATACATGAGTGTAGTAAGTCAGTTGAATGATGAGTAAGTGAAAAGTCAGAATGGGATATATTTCTTACACAGAGATACTTGTGGTCACAAAGCACCTTAGAGACTAACAACATTGGTTCCAGCACATGCATTCATGAGGCAGAGGTCACTTCAGATGCATGAAGTATACGACCATTAGGCTGCTTCATTTATATTAAAGGCTGTGAGCAACAGAAATGTGTTGGGGGGAAAAGATGTTACAAAGAATGGCTAGTTTAAAACAAGATCCAATCAAAAGTAGTCTGGAGATCAGTTGTAATGTTGGGAGATCATCAGGCCCAACCTGGAGGTCAGCGACCCTACATTGCCCTGGTCTACAAAGATGGTTCAGAGGTTATGGACTAGTTCGCCTAAATGTTCCCTTTATAATTGCATCCTGCAGGTTAAAAAAAATCTATTGTGAAATCATAGTACTGAATGCACAAAAGGCAGGCAATTAAGGACACATAAATGCAAAATGACATAAAAATAAAAGGAAGTATCACCTTGTTGTGCACCTTTGTAACCGAACTTTCTGCATTACGGTACATCATGTCTTAGGCAGGTTTTTTTGTTTGCATTATTTTCCAATTCTGTAACCCTAGTCCTATTATATTGCCTTGATTGAATCTATTTTTATATTTGGTACTCCACTTTGTAATCTGCCTCATAGACCAAGCACACCTCTTTAGAAACAAAACATTAAATGACTTACAGCATCTGCCTTGCTCTCCCTCCACAAGCGGGGGACATCTAACACCTGCATGAACATCCCCTTCAAGTTGGCAATGACAACTGCCGCTAACACAGACTGCAAAGGGAAATGAGAGTAATTAAACTGTGTTATTCCAGGAAGACACCAGCACTGTGTGCGTGTGTGCGTGTGTGCGAGAGAGAGTTAGTTAGCTGTTGGAGGAGAGAGGGAGGACGCTTTTTCTTTATTGAGGCAGAACCCAAACATAACAGCAAGTCATGAAGCTGCAGATGTGTAAACAATAAGAAGCACAATCACAAAATACCTTTTGTAAAGGTTCAAGCAGCTTGCCCAAGGCAACTATGGCAATCAACACAATTCCAGCAGAGATTATGCCAGCAACCTGAGAAAGAGATGGTTTATACGATCAATCAAACAGATTTCCTATTAGCTATATTTACATAGAATCATAATGCATAGCTTCACTACCTTTAGTAGGCTAGTTTGGTTTTTCATGTGCAGAAATAATTTAGTAACAATAAAAGCAAATCTCACAGTGCTAATGAAGAAACATGTACTGGTTTGAAATAAATTAGCTTTTGCAAGCATATACCATATTCAGACAGACTGAAACATGTCTTTCCCACCTGTGATCACTTTCTTTCTTTTTCAGTCTTGATATAATATGGAGGTGGTAATCAGGTCATCTGAGCTCCCCTACAAAAGCCTGCACAAGCTATCATTAAAAAAACTCCTAATCTAGTACACTCAGTTGGTATCCTGGTCTTTCCAGATGATTGCCTCAAGGCTTTCATATTTTATCTAGGTTCAGACAGACAAGCAATCTGGATAGCCTAGACCGGCCTGATCCTGTCAGAGCTTGGCTGCCAAGCAGTGCAGGTCATGGCTGGTTGGTATTTGGATGGGAAACAACCAAAGAACAGCTAGATTAGTATGCAAAGGAAAGCAATGGCAAAGCACTTGTGTTCATCGCTTGTCTTGGAAACGCTACTGCGGGACCCAGTCCCCTAGTGGTTTTTATGGGCCCCTCCCTGAGCCAGGGCTCTAGTCGGGGGGGAGCTCTCAGGTACGGAGCTCCGGAAGAGAACCTCTAGGGGGCGGGGCGGTCACGTGGTGAAGCCCCGCCCCCTTCTTTACCCCGCCCTCTGCTTCGATCCTCATTCCGTTTGGGAATGAGGATGAAGCAGGAGGGTAAGTGGCCGGGCCTTCTGACACACTTCCGGTGATGTCAGGGAGTGTGGCCTTCTGTCACTTCCGGTGATGTCAGGGGGCGTGGCATATGCAAATAAGTTATGCTAATGAGTTATGCTAATGAGCTCCGGCAGCTCTTTTTCTACAACAAGACCCCTGCCCTGAGCCATGGCTCCCCCCCCCGGGCCATCTCACCCCGATGGCCTGTCGGCAGGGAGGATGAGGGCAGCACAAGCAGCAGCAACGGTGATGAGGCTGGGCTTAGAAAGCAGCCCGGCAGGCAGCAAGTGTGAATGGAGTGGGGAGAAGCCTCCATCTTGGGCTTCCACCAGACGCTCGCTGCGCCGCCCACCAGCAGCAGGTAAGCCCAGCCAGGCAAGGCAAGGAGGCAGGTGGTTTCATTATCTGTTTATAATGCCACATAAAATCACTAACAGGGAAATTTCATAGTAATACAGGAATTAGAATGATCTTTAATGATAATTCTCAACTGAGGAAATTACCTGGGTTTTTCCACCAGTGCTTTCCTGGACTGCTGTGCGAGAGAGCGCTGTTGTAGCAGCAAAGCACGAAAAGGCTCCTGAGAAAATGTTGCTGATCCCAAAGGCAATGAACTCCTGGAAGATTAGATAACTGGTATAAATAAACATTTCTTTTAAAAAATAACACAACTTCTCTATATTACAAGTAATTATTATTTCCTTGGGGAATTTCTATACATTAAAAAAATTGGTGGAGAGCCAAAACAAAACAAAAAATTGAATCAGATTCAATTATAGCTGTATGCTGTGTTTGAGTTTAAGATTTTCTTAACAATGGGACATTCAGAAACAAGTTCCTAGACAGAGCAGCACAAGATCTCGTATAACATTTTATTGGGAAAATGTTGCAGATAAATCCACAGGAAAAAAAGAAAATGCTGTTAGAAATATATTTATTTAAAATATTTATATACTACTTTACGATTTTGTAAAACATAATTTTTAGTGTATTTTGAAGAAAAGGAAGAGTCAACACTATTCACTGTTTAACAATGGGAAAAGTTAGAGTTTACATTGTTTTACTTGGTCCTGGGCCTTGAATAGTCCAGTTCCAGACACTGTACACAGAATTCTATAGCAGGACTATCCTTCATGCTTCCTCATAACGTACCTTCCTATACCCAGCAGATCTACCTATTTATTCATGTCTGACAAAGCTTAAACCCTAAAAATCTCATTCATCTCTAAGTTGCTCCTGGACTCAAATCCAGCTGTTCTACCGCAGACCAACACGGCTACCCTCTGAAACTTTCCTCAACTCTTTCCTACTTTGAGGGTGAGTTGCAGGAAATCACAATACCTTTTGTGTCTTAAAATCCTATCACTGTTGCAAGCTACATGCTTCAGTTTTGTGTACCAATTCAGTGGGTTTTTTAAAGGATTATGACAATGCAGTAGCATAATAAAGCGCCAAGTAATCTTGCACAGAGAAACAAGGAATACTGAATAATCTAAGACAAAGTTCTTGAATTAACTTTCTTCTACTACTTGCCAATGTATCTTGTATGGTTACACAGTGCAAAGATGTTTCAAGTGAACGATATCTTCAGAAATTTCTGCTAGTTAAACCCCATCCACCCCATGTTCATTGTCAACACGTCCATAGTAAACACCTCCCCCAAAAGCAGAGACATTGCTGATTCTATTACTGCCCCAAAGTGTATTATGTAATACAAAGAATAAGCAGGAATACACCAGAGTGAAAAATCTCAGTACACATACAGCCATGTTAACTTCCTACGAAAACTTTGTGTGATCTCAGCACACTACCACTTCAGGTTGTAATGCACAACCCTAAGGACAATTTCCAGGGAAGAAACCCCATTTAATAAAATGGGACTTAGTTCTGAGTAGATCTGTTTAGGAGCATTCCCTGTGCTTCCCAAGTGCTTGATAATGTACTTATTTCTAAGCAGAGTTACACCCTTTAAAGCCCACTGACTTCAACGGACTCTGTTTAGGAGTACTATGTATAACAGTTGTAAAGAGAAAACGTCAGCAGTATTGTACATACTCATGCTATTTATTTGAATCCTAACTGAGGTTAGATCCAAATATGACAGCCCAAAAAGTCTTCCCATGTCAAGTTTTCCCCCTTCTAGTGATGGGTCTTTTTTGACATGATGTCATCCCCCCGCTACATAACTACACATCTAATGCTGCCCCCTTCCTGCCCTATCTTTTAATTGCTGGGTCTATGTTTTTATATATGTATTTTACTTTTGCTTTTATTATTGTTTTATAATGTTCTGCTTTTAATTGTTAGTTACATCAATAGCATTGATCAGACAGAAAGGCAGAATATGTATTCTGCAAATAAAGAAATAAAATAATTCATGAGGAGAAGAGGAGAACACGGGGGGGGGGGGGCGACTGCCATTTTCAGCAGTGGCGCTGAGTGTTTTGTCATTTCTAGTTTTGCCCTGAGTCACTGCTGTGAAATCATTCACCATTAACACAAACTATTGAATGAAGTTTATTCTTCTCCATATATATTATCTAAGTAACTTTAAATGCAACATGTCTGCAATACACAGATAAATTAGTAACATGTTTTCCTCCACAGATAAATGAGCTTTATTTCAAAAAGGCTCTCTGGCTCTACATACCTGGTTTCCGTCAATAGCATAGTCATATTTAGTTGCATACACTTTGCCTACAGAGACAGCTATTGCATACGCAACAATAGCAATGGAAAAGGCAGAGGCCATCATATCGCCAAACATACTGACAGCTGGAGGTTCAGGAGGCAAGAATCTAAAAATGTTAAATAAGTATATATATTGGCGTGTGGGGCACTCTACAAATTCTAATTAGAACACACCCTTTGATTTGCTTAACTTTTTAATTAATGCATTTCCTTACTTCACAGGGGGGGAAAAAGTAATTTAGGGAAACATATGTCCTATCAACCCCCTCCACGTATTGCATAAACTACACACTGTAAAAAAAGCTTTATTGTAGAAATAAGGGTTCTCTTTTCTGCTTCAGATGAAAGTCATGCAGCGCAATCACTTATGATATGAAAAGTATGTGCATGATAAACAGTTCACCATAAAGCCATGTTTAGTTGTTACAATGTGGTGATCCAACTGAACCAAAAGAGAAGATTGTACAGTGCGTGATCCTCTTGGTATGCACAATCACCACTTTACGTAAACAGGGCAATACACATATTTTCCCACTATGGTACAGATTTTTTTTTATCATATGTGTTTACACATATGGACACTAGAAAATATGTCCTTCACGCAAAATAACAATTACACAGATCAGTAGGATTGTGGGTAGCATATTCTCCTGTTATGTGAAACTGAAGCACCAAAATTGTAATGACTGAACAGGATTTAAATTAATACTGGGGACAGTGGAATATTAGCTGTCTGCTTTCACTCTCTATAAGGTATGCACATATTTAGAGTTCTACATACCTACATCCAATAGCACATGATCCTTGCCCCTGCCCCCCAAAAATGAAAAATCCTTCTCTCCTTCCCTTTCCCATTCCCTCTGAAAGTTACTTCACAGGCTATTTTGCCAGCACTCATAAAGAAATAACGTATTAACCAATATACACCTTCTATGCGAATACCATACATGCGAATACCATACAATTTTGCCCTATGTACTCTGCGAACTGCAGTAAAAAAGTCACTGCTTGAACTTTATGCATAAGCATGTTTCTCAACTCCCTTATATTAGAATGTTATATGCTCAGCAGCCTTATTATCAACATTAATAGAAAAACATTAGTGCATATTTAGCAACATTGGCTGCACTTACCCACTAGGAATACTTTTAACAATGCCTGCATTGTATTTTTTCTCCAGATCAACACCATATGAAATCCCAGCTGCTACGATAGTCTGGAATCAAAAGACGTATCTGTCTAAATGTAGAAAACTGGTAGTGTTCCATTGCCCAACCCACCATTTGCATTCACTCTTTGCTTACCACAATAACTTCTATAGGAATAGGAACAGGAATCTTATGTCTGAACCGATCATTTATTTCCTTGACCACCATACAGACAACAATGGTCAACAAGCCAGCGATGAAATCGGCAATGTTGGTGGTTCCAATGTTTTGAAATATTTCAATAAGGGTCTAGAGAAAAAGAAAGACAATGCAAAATAATTTTGTTCAAAATAAAAGATGAGACCATGGTCCGAAAACATTTGATAAGTTCAGACTAGGTCAGAAGCTATCTGTGTCTGTAGTCCTATGCATAAAAATTGAAATTAAACTCACTGAATTTAATGGGACTTACTCCGAAGTAAATGAGCATAAGCAGCTATGAATTTTAAAAGAAAACAGCTCTGCAATTTTGTCTGTATGATTTTGAAAACACGAGGACCCAAAGCAAGGTCATAGGGTTGTCAGGTCCCCCCTGGCTACCAGTGGGGGATGGGACGTTGAGTTATCAGATCTAGGTTGGGAAACTCCTGGAGATTTGGGAATGGAGCCTGGGGAGGACAGGGAGCTCAGTGGGGTACAATGCCATGGAGTCCACCCTCCAAAGCATCCATTTTCCCCAGGGGAACTGATCTCTATAGTCTGGAGTTGAGCTGTAATTCCAGGGGATCCCCAGGTCCCACCTGGAGGCTGGCATCCTGATCACAAAATATTGACACTCCTGTTCTGTGGTTTCTCGTTGTAAAAGTTAAGTGCAAGTACTTTTACATCTAAGAAAAGCCCTGCTGGATCAGACCAGCAATCCATCTAGTCCAGCATCCTTTTTCATACAGTGGCCAACCAGTTACTCTGGAGGGCCAACAAACAAGGCATAGAAGCCAAGGCCTTCCTCTGATGGTGACTCCTAACAGTGGTATTCAGAAGTTTACTACCTCTGAATATGGACATTCCCTTTCGTCACCATGGCTAGTAGCCGCTAGTGGACCTATTCTCCACAAATCTACTTCCCTCCTAAAGTCATCTATATTTGTAACCATCACTATGGCCTCTGGCAGTGAATTCCAAGAGCTGAACTGATGAGGCTGTAGTCATCTCTGTCCATTGTACCCAAAAAGCTCTGACTTTGAAGTGTTTCATCACATATATATGTGCATGTATGTGCACACAATATTCAATGGTCAAAATGTACTTACACAGAGGCTGTTTCTGTGACTTGAAAGAACCTACAAGTTATTTATTTTGTCTCAATTTAAAAACAGAGAGGTGTGATTTGGTGTTTTGTCCCAGGATCCCCAAAAGCTTCTCTCTAGACTACAGAGATCAGTTCCCCTGGAGAAAATGGATGCATTGGAGGGTGGACTCTTGGGATTGCATCCTGTTGAGGTCCCTGTCCTCCCCAGGCTCCATCCGCAGATCTCCAGGAGTTTCCCAACCTGGATCTGGCAACCCTACCCCCCTCATTCCCCATCAGTGGCCAGGGGGGACCTGGCAACCCTATCCTGACCAGTGCAAGGTGGGTAGGAGCCACTACTGTTGCCAGAAGCCAGCGAGTCAAGCCCCAGATGGGGCAGGTGCAGCAACAGCAGGAGACTGCTCTTCTTTGCTCCCATCCCTTGGGGCAGTGGGGCTGTGGGCAGTTTATTTATTTATTTTTCGCATTTATATCCCGCCCTCCCCGATGGGCTCAGGGCGGCTAACAAGGGCAAGGTAATAACCCTGCCATAATTAAAACATAATATACATAATATACATAGTAACTTAAAACATATAATACATATTAAAACTTCCGATACTTAAAAACAACGGTGCTCACTCAACTTCTGATATCATAGGTCCAAAGATGGCATCAATGCAGTTCCAGGTGGTACTTCCCATGCTGTTTGCACCCACAGGAGAACGGCTTAGATCTTTTTTGCAATATCCAGATGCTTCCTCAGGGCCTCGTCAAAACCATGACGGTGGTGGTATAATAGGGGGGGCGGCTCCTACTCAAAGGTCTGGTGGAAGAGCTCCGTCTTGCAGGCCCTGCAGTTGAGGCTTCCCCAAGTGTGGGGCTGGGCCAGCTGTCCCTGTTAGTTAGCTTTAGTCCCCCATTAGTTAGCTAAGACCACCCAAGTGAACTTTATGGCAACATGGAGATCTGATGTCAGGTCTCTCTAATCCTAGTATGACTATCTAAGCACAACACCACACTGGTTCTAATAATACGCCATGGGAGAAAGGCCATTTTGGCAAGATATACTTACATAGATTATGGAAAGAACTCCATTGTAGTTTTTGGTCGAAACATTTAAGACTATTTTCAGCTGTGAAACAAACACTTGAAAAGCAGCTGCAGTTGTAAAACCTCCAACCAGTGGATCAGCAAGGTATCTCACAATGAAACCAATCTGAAGAGCTCCAAGCACTAGCTAGAGAAAAATGAAAACACAAACTTAACTTATCAACAGGTAAGAAATGTAGAAAGTAATTATAGCATATAAAAATCAAGTCTTATTTATAATTTTTAGTGTAGGCTGACATAACAGCAAATTGTATTATGCCTTTAGAGCCAGTATACTACTATGTCATCCTCAGTTTAAATCAATGGTCTTAGAATGATATAACTCTGCTTAGGACTGGCACTGTTAGATGTTCAGCAAAATCAAGTGGGGGAAAACCTCTTTTTGATTATACATCAAGATGTGTGTTTTAATGCTTCCTTGTGGAATGTAAAAAAAACCCCTTTAGTATAGAGACAATTAGCATGTGAAGATAAAGGGTTCAGCCTATGCAGTACTCTGACATGCAATTTTGCTCTGTATGTAAACAGTTCGGGACAGATTAGTATAGATGCAAGCTTTCAAACCTGCAACCTGAAGTGCTACTGCTCAGAAGCAACTTTACCACTTGATTCTACTGAAGGTTTTAACTGCCCATAAATCTTACTTTGTAAAGTTCAAATGAGGGTAGAAAGGTGGGATATAATTTTTGCAAAATAAAATTAATTTTAAAAATTCATGTCTCTTGCCTTTTTCTTTTCTTTTTTGCATGGAGTCTTAATACATTTGCTAACAACAACAAATGATATTTTTCCTGCAATTGATATAGACCTTCCCACATTCCCACTTCTGCAAGATACTGGAACAAGGCTTGAAGTTAAACTTTTAATTGCAGAACTCAAGTCTTCCCCAATTTTTATCCCATTAAATAAATGTAAAAAAAACCCCAGTACTGTAATAGTAGTATCAAACTATGCAAAACTGTAAACATGATGCAGCCTTTTGTATTCTAATTTAATATTTTGAACCTATTTTAGCTCTAGCTGACAGAAGTAAATAAAGCTAAGCTGATTTTTCCTTTTTTTTTCCAGTTCTGTAATAAAGCAGAAAAGCAAACGTTCTGAGACTTTCGTCAGTGTTATATTACCTGCATAATGCCAACCAGAAACGTGATGGTGCTGGCAATTAGCACTCTCTCTGCATCTCTGGCTTCAGTGTCTATAACTGTTTTGTTCAGCCCCGTCATGTTACTGTTGACCACGAGAAAATTTTCATCAGGGGCCATGCTCAGAACTACTGAGCCAACCATCAAACTGACCACAGGAAAAGGGCCTGTTCAAAGGAAACTTACATTATATATAGACAAACTTATCTGTTAACATTCTCAAAAGCAGTTAACATAAAAATAAATATCTCAGGACCAAACTAGATGTTATGGCATCCATGGGTCTGACCCATGGATGCCAACTCCATTTTAAAATGCCATGTTGGGCTGCAGTGCAGTGGAACCAGGCAGTCTTCTTTACCCTACTGTGCCTCTTTTCAAGTGCCAAAAAAAGCCAATTTCAGCACTTGAAAAGGCGTGCGCGGGGGGGACGGACGGGGACGGACAAGACTACCTAGTCTCTCTGTGCTGTGGGTCTGATCAGGATCAGGCCTTCATGGCATTTTTAAATCACCAAATTCTGCTTTTAAATGGCATTGGTGTGTCCATGCGTCAGACTCATGAATCCTGTAATGTCTAGACTGGCCCTTATTTGGAAGCTACTGTTTGGATCCAACAGAGGACCTCCACAGGCAGAAAGGGAGCAATATTCACAATTTCTCCCCTCATACTGTAGAGATTTGATTCCTCCACAAACCATTCCCCGGGGGGGGGGGGGCATTTCTTGGGCCATGTGGGGTTGCAATGGGGAGGGGGAAGCAAGAAAGTCATGATGCACTGATGGAAATGCCTTCTGTGGGCCAGCCCCATGTGTACAGCTGTAGAAATACACTCCACTAGTTAATCTGAACTAGGAGTATCCCGCTATTATGTTTGGGCCTGAATAAATCCCATTGATTCCACTGGCAGAGGGCCTGTGTAATTTACCCCTGATACTAATTGCTGGATTCCAGCACTAGTGAAGGAAGAGGACACAAGTATGAAACACATGCCTGAAAATGATCCCTCTGCATACAGCAGAATTCAGAAACCATAAAACTATGCCAACATAAAACCCTATGGTAGCAAATTAATTTTTCAAAGCGGCTTAACACTTAAATATTAACATCTTCAAAAAAGGCTTATGTTAAAATGGGAAGTGTATGGTTACCAACTGAGATGTGTCTTGATGTGCCCAGAAAGAAGTATGTCAGGATGGGGAAAAAAGCAGAGTAGAGGCCATATCCAACAGGGACAGCAACCAGCAATGCATAAGCCAGGCCTGAAATATCAAAAGAATTTAGGGTTTTCAATTCTCATTTTGCAATGGACTCTTTACATCTTATATACAGTTCCCCTTGTTGCCAGAAGTGTAGTTGTTTTTCTATCGAAATGCTTGGTCTCCTTCCTACCTTCGTCCCATCTCGAGAGATGCCAGTTGTAGGGCTAGGAAGAAATACCCTTCTCCAACACTGGTATTGTGCAATGCCAGGTCTATTAATAATAAGACCTCTGTCCTTCAGAATTATCTGTTGGAGCAAAATGTAGACCTGGCATGCATGACTGACACCTGGGTGAGAGAGGGCAAGTCTATCACCCTGAACCAACTTAACCCCCCCCCCCCAGGCTTCTTAGTCCCTCATCAGTCCCAGACTAATGGGTGTGTGTGGGGGGGGGTAGTGCTGCACATTTGGGAGGCTTTCTCTTTCAGGGCACTCCTTGTGACAAACATGTCCAGCCTAGTGTGGGAAGTCGAGGAGAATTCGGTTATTTGGCTGGTGTACCAACTACCTAACGCATCAGCAGAATGTGACCTCCATTGCATCTGCTAGCTCTCACCCAGCTCAACTGTTTAGAACAATTCGATCTTTAACTTCTTTGCCTCAAGGAAAACCAAATGAAAAGGAATTGGCTATCGGCTGTGAGGTATTTGCAAGCTTCTTTGCAGATAAAGTCTTGTCACTTCACTAGGGCCTCCCAGCAACAATAATGGAACTGGAAGACCCTTGTCCGTCTTCAGGTCCAGTTTTGGACCACTTCAGTTGGCTCTCCCAGGAGGAAATTGACAAGATCCTGGCAGTTGAGAAGCCCACCACTTGCCTCCTCAATCCGTGCCCCTCCTGGCTGGTCAAGGCCTACCAGCAAAGCATTTGAACTGGAAGTTATTATCAACATATCCCTATTACCCTTCCAGTTGGTCTAAAGGAGGCAGTGGTGTGTCCACTCTTAAAGAAGCCATCATTGGACCTGTTATGTATTGATACGGACATGTCTGGACAGGTAGCGCTAAGGAAGCCATGCGGTCTAGCACACCTTCAGGATTTAGAACAATAACCGACTCAGATCTTAGTGCGGACTAATAGGTTTGCCCGGATCATAAGCTTGACCTATGATGGACTCTTACACTGTAAATAGCCAATCACGGGAGTGGGGTGTGGGTTGGGTGTTGTGTGCAGCATGGGTAAAAACAGGGTTCGAACCTGGCTAGTTTGTCTCTAGTGAGCTGAATTTCACTAATAAATATGAGCTGATCACTTGCTAACGTGTCTGAACCCAGTACATTATAGGACCCTATGGTCCTTGTCAACTATCACTCAGTTTTGAACTTACCGTTCCTGGGCAAGGTGGTCGAGAGAGTGGCAGTGGAGCAACTCCAGATCTTCTTGGATGCTGCTGCTATCCTGGACCCATTCTAATCTGGCTTTCACCCTGGCCGCAGGATGGAGACCATGATGGTCATCCTCACAGATGACCTCCGGAGGCATCTGAATTGAGGCAGGTCGGCACTGCTGTTGCCTCTTGATCTAACAGCAGCATTTGACATGGTTGATTATGATCTTTTGACCCACTGCCTCACTGACGTTGGGATACGGGGGACTGCCCTGCAGTGGCTCTCCTCCTTCCTTTATGGACAGAGGGTGGTGCTTAGGGAGGAGTTGTCCAAGTGGCAACCAGTTGAATGTGGTGTGCCACAGGGGGCAATCCTCTCCCCAATGCTGTTTAACATCTATACGTGCCCCCTTGCCCAGTTTGTCCGGCGGTATGGGCTGGGTTGTCATCAATATGCTGATGATACCCAGCTTTATCTGTTGATAGATGGCCAGCTGGACTCCGCCCCACAGGTGTTAGCCAGGGCACTACAGGCAGTGGCAGGATGGCTTAAATAGAGCAGACTGAAACTAATTCCAACGAAGACAGAGGTCCTGTACCTGAGTCGTGGGGATTTGTGATTGGGAATCTGGCTCCCAATCCTTGATGTGACACCTTTGGTGCCAGTGCCAAGGGTGAAGAGTCTAGGGGTTATCTTGGATTCCTCCCTTCCTATGGAGGCCTAAGTTGCCACTGTTGCTAGATCAGCCTTCTATCTTTGGCTGGGTCAAGCAGCTGGTTCCCTATCTCACTCCCCAGGATTTAGCTACAGTGATCCATGCAATGGTCTCTTCCAGGCTGGATTGTTGTAACTTGCTCTACATGGGGTTGCCCATGAACTTGACCAGGAAACTGCAGCTAGTGCAGAATGCGGTGGCACGTGTGCTGATGGTGATGCCTGTGCAGGCGTACATCCAGCCAGTGCTCCGCCAACTGCACTGGCTGCCTATAGAGTACCAGATCCAGTTCAAGGTTCTAGTGCTGACTTTTAAAGTCCTATGCGGCCAGGGACCATCTTTCCCATATGTACCCTGCAGAGCTTTGTGCTCAACTGATCAACATGTTCTGGTTGTCCCTGGCCTGAAGGATGTCCAGGTGGCCTCAACTAGGGCCAGGTCGTTTTCTGCCCTGGCCCCAGCCTGGTGGAACAAATGCCCAATTGAGCTCAGGGCCCTGTGGGATCTATAACAATTCCACAGAGCCTGTAAAATGGAGCTGTTCTGTCAGGCTTTCAGTTGAGGCAGTGGACATCCAAATTTCCATTCTTGGCCTCCCCTGCTGACAGCCCTGGCCTTATGGTCAGTGGTCTGATATCCAATAACACCACTCAGAAGTTTCTATCTGAGAGTTGCTACTGAGGCAACTTTCACTCTGGTTTTCTGGTACTAAATTTTAAATTTCTGAATTTTTATATATTGCTTGAATATGATATTGTTACTGTCACAATTTTTATGTGACACTGTAACCTGCCCTGAGGCTGCTTGAAGGGAGGGCAAGATATAAACTAAAGGAAATAAATAAATACATGTAGGCAATGCTCCCTCTAAGTTGTGGAGTCTTGTGAGCAAAAATTCTACTTTGTGAGCTACTGGCATTAAAGTTGTGAGCGAGCGATTTTGCTACTGCATAAATTGCTCTGGAGCCACCCTTCCTGAGCTAAGATGAAAATGTGCAAGCCACAGGCTAAAAAACTGTGAGCTAGCTCACACTAACTCAGTTTAGAGGGAACACTGCATGTGGGCATAATCTGCATTTGTTCCATAACTGAGATTTTGCTGCACAGAGGAACAGACCTGAGCTATAACTCTAGTTGGGCATCATAGGTAGATTACAGTTTTGTGAGCAGTCAAACACTCAACCTGATCCCAATCATGCTTTCATGCTTACTCAGTAGTAAGTCTCATTGATTCAAATGGAATTTACATTTTAGGGATTTTTTTTAAGCAAACTTAAATCAGGGGGGAGGAGCTTTAATCCAAAAAACTGGACAACATTCAGGTGCTAGAGATTCAACCAGGCTAACCTTGCCCAAAACATTTTCACCTTTCCATAGATGATGCTTTGCAAAATGCAGTGACAGGTGATGCTTAAAGGAATGACAGAGAATGGCTATAGAGATACATTGGCTCCGTCTGAATGACTACAAGGATCTACTGATTTTCCAAAGGACCATTCAAAAGGTTTAAAACACAGCAGGAATGATAAGTGCCCTGATAGAGTTCTTTTTTTTTTTGCTTTCATTATAACAATTCAATAAGAAAATATCCAAGTCTCTCCTTACCTTGCAAAGTAGCCACAAGTCCAGTACTGACACCAGAAATTACATCACTGAGTAGCCATTCCTTCACTCTGTATTTAGGCAGCCACTCCAGAATGGGGAAGAAGGTCTTGGTTATCTGAAGGGCTCTTTTTTTGGAACAGCTGCCAATGACAAAACATTAAATTGCTAAGGGTGGACACTGTGAAGGTTTCTGCTCCTCTCCACCTTAGGGTTGCCAAGTCCCCACTGGCAGGGGATGAAGGGGCAAGGTTGCCAGATCCAGGTTGGGAAACTCCTGGAGATTTGGGATTGGAGCCTGGGAAGGACAGGGACCTCAGTGAGGTATAATGCCATAGAATGCATCCTCCAAAGCATCCATTTTCTCCAGGGGAACTGATCTCTGTAGTCTGGAGATGAGCTGTAATTCCAAGGGATCCCCAGGTCCCACCTGGAGGCTGGCATCCCTATCTCCATATTTTGATCAAAGATTCTTTCAGTCCCCAGATGTTACTTTCCTTCTCCCCCCAGGAAGCATGATATATTTCACCTGCAAGCTTGCTGTGCTCGTTCCCGGAGAGTTCTAGATGGTCCTGGAATGCTCTCATTATCCTCTTGGAAGTTAGGTTCATTGTAAATGGGGCGGGTGACCACATACTGTCTGAGATCTGAGAGCAATCCATCAGCCCCACCACCGGCTGCCATGCCCCCACCTACATGTGAAAAAAAATGGAAAGGAGGCAGTATTTGCAAAGCACACGAGTGTCTAAAGCACCCTCCCAGCTTATCCTACATCTGTTCAGGTGAATTTATCCAATGGTTGCAGAGCCCAGTGCTTCTTCCTCTGTCTTGACTGCAAAAGGTAATCATAAACAGCTTCTTCTTCATCCACAGGAACCCCAATTCAAATCCCCGTACCTCCCTACAGGAGTTAACTATGAAAACCTGGATCTCTTCAACCATTACAAATGTCAACTGTGAATGGTGTGTACTTTTCTTGAATAGAATTTTTTTTATATATTTCACTCAGTCATACCCATATTTCATGAGCCTTGCTGTTTGTCCCCCCCCCCCCCACATACCTTTAATATAAAAGGTTGGCCTAATGAGGAATTACTAAATCACTTCTGAGGAAGTGGGCTCATGTCCAACAAATCACAGTTAGTATGTAAGATGCTACTAGACTCTAGCAATCCTGACCTGGCTGGCCCAGGCTGGCCCAATCTTATCAGATTTTAGACACTAAGCAAGTTTTTTCCTGATTAGTGCTTGGATGGGAGAGCGCCAAGTTGCCAGGAGAAACCGCCGAGAAGGAAAGAAGCTGAGCCAGAAAGAGGACGCAGCGGATCCACCACAGGGTGCTGGTAGGGAATCCCCACCCCTTACAATATGTGGCCTTAGATAGGGTATCAAACAGTTCATAGAACGCCTTTCTGTAAACCGCCCAGAGACCCCTAGGGGTTAGGGCGGTATAACAAGTCGAAATAATAAATAAATAAGGAAGTCCAGGGCTGCTACTCAGAGGTAAGGAATGGCAAACCACCTCTTGTTTGTTTCTTGTCTTGAAATTCCTACACCAAAAATTGGCTGCAACCTGATAGAACATCACACCCAAACTCTAAGAATTTAGTGGTCCTTTAAAGACTGACAAGATTCCATTCCAGTATTTTTGCTTTCCTTTTATTTATTTGAAATACTTACATCCCACCTTATTTCCTTAGACTCAAGGAAGGGCACAAAAAATGTGAGTCCATTAAGATATAAAAGCAACTCATAAATTAAAAAACGTATGGATCAAAACGCAACCAAATCTGCTAAAGCAGTTTACCCTCCATCAAATGCCCTCTGAAACAAAACTCTTTTGCAACCCTTCTTGCACTACAAACAATCCTAAAAGAGAGTAAATAACACATCCCCTAGATTGGATTATTATTATTTTTTTTAAGTTAGTTTTTAAGGTGCCACCACCCTCCAGGAATCGAGTTGCATTTAAAAGGCTAGCAAGAGTTTATTCCAGCATACACATATTCCTGACTGGTCACCCAGCTGGCTGCATGTGGAGAAGTGGGGCATCAAACCGGGTTCTCCAGATTAGAGTCCGCAGTTCTGAACCACTACACCGACCAAACTGGCTGTCTCCAGGAATCCAGGGGCACTTCAAAGACTTGTATTCTAGAATACAAACATTCCAGAACTGTTATTGTATGCTTCTGAGGAAGTGGCCTCTAGTCCATGGGAGTTTATGCCGAAATTCTGCCAGTGCCCCTGGAGCGTCCTGTGGGGAGAGGGCGGCGGTCGCCAGTGCCTTGCGCCCCGCTGCCCTCGGCCAGTTTGCCTGGCAAAAGAGTCCCCGCGCGCGCTTCATTTCCCCAGAAGACCCTAAGCAACAGGGAAGTTTCTTCCTCAGCTTGCAGAGGAGAGGCGGCGCCCGCAGAGCTTCAAGGCACCGACGAGTTTTGTTGTTTTTTTTTTAAAGACCACAGGCTCTTTCGTGCTACCCTCCGTGAGACAAGAGCACAAGCCGCCACCCTTCTCTTTTTGTCCCCCCCTCGCCCCCGCCCCTCGCGCGCCTTTCTCCTCAGTTTGCCTCCCGGCACGTCCCCTCCATTCAGCACCAGCTCGGCTGGCTGCTCTTGGCCCCACACCGTCTCGCGCCTAGTTGTCAGCAACGCTTCACTCTTCAGCTGCGTTCTGCCCAAGGGCGAGGAAGGAATCATGCGCCTTACCTGAGCCCAGTGCCCCGGCCAGGGCGAGGAACCCAGTGGTGGCATTTATACGGCCGGAGCCAGCATTAGCCGCTTTCCTTTATTTACAGGCAAACAGACGCGCGGCAGCAGCAGCAGCCTCGCAAACAAGCCCTCCTCGCCTATTGCCGGCTCCCTCCTCCTGCAGGAGCCACGCGCGTGAAGCGGGGAGGTGGAGAGGAAGAGCCCGGAGGAAGGAGCAGAATAGGGGCCCTTGTGGGTCTGACCAGGGGAGTCCATCTTAGCCAGGAGCATCCTGTTTCACATCGCACGGCGTAGTGGTCAGAAGAATGGGAGGCTAGGGCCAGCCAGGTTCGAGTTCCCCCTCTGCCAGGCAGGCTGCTCGCTGTCCTTGGCCAGTCACGCGTTCTCACCCAAACCTGCCTCAGAGCCTCCTTGTGAGGATAACATCAGAAGGAGGGGAGAATGCTGTAAAAGCTGGTTTGGGTTCCCACTGAGGAGAAAGGTAGGGTATAAATGAAGTAAATAAATAAATGCAAGCTGTTTTGGGTCCTCCTTGGGAAGAAAGCGGAACTTGAAGTATAAATAAAGAAATAAAAGGGGACCGACAAAAAAGGGCACAGAGGCTAAGAACCTCGTGTTGCCTCCTGGGACTGGGTTTCAGAGGTTAACTGCCCCTGGACATGGAATCCCTTTTAGCCATCATCACAGCTAATAGCTGCGGCCAGGCCTGAATAGTCTTCCAGTATTCTTCTATTCTTAATCTGCCCAATCCCCTTTTAAAACCATCTATGCTTGTGGCCATCACCACTGCATCCACTGGCTGTGAAAACTACAGTTTTCATAATTTGTTGAGTAAAGATACTGGGTAGGCAGACCCTAAATGGGCTGTAGTGGGGGGGGGGTGGGCTCAGTTTGCAGATTCATGGGTGGGTCCCTAAATCTGAAGACTTCCCCAACAGACCAAGAAACACACACTGTAGTTGTTTCCACATCTGCCTGCCACTCCGGATTTTCTCTGTGTTCGAGTCGAAGCAATTTAAGTCCATGGCAAAACAGCATCCAAATAACCCCAGGTAAAGAGCAGGCTGAAACCAGGCTAAGCACTGAAGGGAGGTAATGTAATGCAGAATGAGGAAAAAACCTGGAATAAAAAGAAGGTTGAACTTGATTTAATTGCAGAATGGGGGGAAAAACCTGGATTAAAAAGAAGGTTGAATTCGATTGTAGCGCAGAATTGCTTGGAAGACACTGTGGTAAACATGGATTAAAAGGAGAGAGCAGAAAGGGCCTGTGTGGCACCTTAGACTAACAGCATGTTTTATATTTCAGCATAAGCTTTCATGGATCATTCAGAGACCACATTTTCAGATATATTCATTTTATCTGAACATTTTATGTAAAAACAAAACTCACCTGGGTCAAGAGACCATAAAATAGTGTGAAAATATAATTTGCACAAGGTGAAAAGCTGTTGAGATCTAATAATTAAAACAGCCAATACCATTGATTAATGATGGTCATAATAGGTATAATTGGTTGACCCCTGTAATGAGTCATAAATCCCTGTTCAAGCTGGGAAGGTGCAATGCTTTCTAATAAACCCTACAGCAGCAATTTCATGCTGGATTTTCCCTTTAAAGCTGCTTTGCTAGAGAACTGTGACTTTTAGGTCAGTAACAAGAGCACTCAGGGAGACTGAATGTTCCCCCACTGGTTTCGGAATATTTCTGTTTTAACCATTTGGCTACGCAGTGACTGGCCTGCTTGTCTTGTGACTTATATCACACTGGGATGGACAAGTGGATGAGCTCCACACCATGATCAACCATTTTCTACCCTGCCTTGGAGAGCTTCATGACATTCTAAACTGCACTGTTAGCTTGAACAGCATGGTGGCAAATCCTTTCAGGACAGGACAGTGTCTGGTGTAAACTGAAGACTGATTTAGGTTTAGCAGAATTCTGTAATGATAGAATGGGCTGTACCACTTCACACTGTGAAAGGATAAAATTCTGAATGTTTCCCCATGTAAAAACTTTGCAAACAAACAAGAAGCATATCAAGGAGAAGGATTCCATACTCATTTTTCATACGTTCTGCTAGATTTCCATCTACAGGGAATGGCTGAAGTTGGAGAACTCTCCCCTACATTCTGTCATCGTATTACTGCCTCATTCTCCAGAATATGTAGACCTTACATATGAAAAAAGAATGAGGCAGTAAAGTGGACTCCACCATTCCAGGCTGCAGGCAGAGATCACATTATGGAATGTTCCTGTTTTTAAAACTCCTGGCAAACAGGAAGGCAGCATAGCAAGCAATGGTAGAAGCTTTCTCCTTGTGGTGCTAGATTTCTATTTTCATGGAATTGTTTAATGTACATTTAGAAGTGGCATCAAGCATTAGATCAAAACACATTTGTGAACTTATCGCTTGGCATGCCAACCTTCCTAGAATCGTTGAACCAAAGAAGCATGCATTGATGTAACCATTGTCCCTACTTCCTCTCTGTCCTCACCAGCATTATACCAACAACACCCCACCCCCTAGTGAGATACCACTTCACAGAACTGAAGATGAGGGTTCCTTCATAGTGCTAGTATTCATTCTACTGATGCCACTGATCCAATAGCAGTGTATCAGCAGAGACCTTTGCGCCTAACCTTTGATGTAAACATTACAGTCCTAAGATTAGGTTCTATAATTGCCTAACTTCTTTACTGATATTTTCCTCACATTTACAACCTGCTCTCCCATCTCAGTCCTCTCTACAGAGCACATGGTAGTGGAAATGATCATAAACTACCTTGGGGTTTGTTTAAACAAGTGAGGATATCAAGTTTATTTTTAAAAAATTATAGCACATTTGGACAGTAGTGGTAAGTGGTATGTTAACAGATCCTTCAGTGTGTTTGTGGATGTGACAGAGAGGAATCCTTGGAGATGAGGCTATGGATGCTCAGCAGGGCTAGCTGCAGCAGGCTAGGTAGAGGCTTT